CCATTTATCCTGATCCCTAATGTTAACCTCAGACCCCCGACCCAAAGACCCCTGGTGGCGCAACCCGGAAAAGCCGCGGGCGGCAAGGACTGACGCGAGGGGGGTACCTGATGCGTCAAAATTGGACGCAAAGGGACCTTTGAAAAACGTCAATATGTGACGACTCGGGAGTGAGAATGTGTTGCACATTCACACACTGATGACGGTAAGTTACATTGTAGCCACAGCTGCCCTGGGGTACACTGACAGAGGCTGCCATACACAGGCGCCACCGGACCCTCTGACCACCATCAGTAGACAAGGTGGGTGAAGTGTCTTGCCCAAGGACACACAACAACTGAAATGGCTGGAGTGGGGATCAAACCCACGACCTTCCGGTTCCAGGACGACTCCCCTAACCACTCCGCCACAGCCGCCGAAGTTAATTGCAACAGGCCCTTTGAGGGCCACCACAGTGCTTATGTGGCCATCGATGAAAATAAGTTTGACACCCATGGGTTAAAAGTTATTTTCTTTTTCTGTTTTCATTCTGCCATGACTCCTAACGAAATGCACCTAAAAATGCTTTTACAAATAAACTGTCTGAAAGCTATAAAGTGTTTGTTTGTTTGTTTGTTTGTTTGTTTGTTTGTTTGTTTGTTTGTGTTTGTTTGTTTGTTTGTTTGTTTTGTGACTATAGACGTTTTGGGACAGGAGTTGTTTTATAATGGCATGACCTTGATCTTGGCCCCTATTGGGTCATTAGCTTATTATTTCTATTCAGAATAAAACTTTATTTCTCCAAGCTAATGTCATTCAAGGAGCTATCCCCAACAGGTAAGATATTTGTTTATAACTATTTCTCAAACCCAACTTAAAAAAACTGCTCAGAACCCTGTTTGTTTGCCACGCTTTGCTTCTTGGGAAGTGGTGGTGGKGGGGGGGGGGGTACTTCAGCACGTAAATACAAAAGTTCTTTCTTCATTTATCAACAAGTGCAGATGTAAGAGACAACATATTGTTCATTTATGTCAGTATTTTACACGGAAGTCCAATTATGGTATTTGTTCCTCTATCAGATCCGTATTTTAGTTGTTTTTTTTTTCCTTAGAGATTCTTTGAAATAAAAAAGTCGAGAGAAATTGCAGAAACAAGTCAGTGGTGTGATGAGACAGCAGCTTCTAAATGCCCCCCGCTTCCCTCCTACCCTTGTTGCGCGTGCCTGCATGCGCGCGGAACAGTTTTATGGTAAATATCACGGGAAGGTCTCAGCACCTTCTCATTGGCTCAGGAGTCAGAGAGACCCTGTCTTTATAAAGCCGGAGTGCCTGATCCACAAAGACCCCCTTCCCTGCTGGCGGAGCGCTGAAAGGAGAACGCGTTTAGGGTTTTTACGCACGGAGGGCTTGGAGAGGAAGCGACCAGAGCCTCTGTTTTTATTTCTAAAGGACAAAAGAGTTTACATCCAACAGGTGGGTTCACTTGACTCGTATTTCTCTGGGCAAAAAAAAAAAAAAGTTAAACTTGTAATCTTTTACTTTGAAGTAAATGACATTACAGCTTTTATTTAGAAAAAGTAACAAACTGCTGTTTATTTTAGATGTTTTGTTTAAGTTTGTTGATTTTTTTATTTAATTATAGTGTTTCTTGCAGATTGTGTTCAAAAGTTTTTATTTTTTAAGGGGAAAATGGCTACTTTGTGATTCTATTTACTTTTTTCACTTTACAACCTTCCCGATTCTAAAGGAGGCTTTTATTTGTAGTGTTATTTTCTTTTTTTTCACCCATCAAAAAAGGGGTTCTGTTTGCCTGCATCTTGTTAACATGTTGTCTCCCCTCCGTACACCACTTTTCTGTTGATAGATAAACTGTGAGCTGAGGTGTCTGAGTGGGCATGTGGTTACTGGAGAAGCTCCGCAGCTCCGTGGAGAGCAGTGGGACCCATTCCCAGCCCCCGCAGACAGCAGAGGCCATTCCAGTCGCTGTCTACGCCAACGTGTTAACTCCAGAAAGGATCCCCGATTTCTTCATCCCCCCCAAACTTATCTGCTGCCCCCCAGAGGAGTCCTCCAGCCCGGAGGCGAAGCACCGCTCCCCTCTGAGACCCTCCTCTTCCGACCACGCCATCTGCAGCAAGAGCCCCAGGGCTCGGAGCAGCAAGAGCCCCTGCAGCCCCCGCCTCTTTGCCCGCAACCTCCAGAAGTCAGCCAACCGTCACATCATCCAGATCGAGAGCGCAGATGAGCCGGGCTCCGGGGCTGCGGACAAGCTGGGCGTCGGCGTCAACACCAACGCTGACCCCCAGTCCCAGACTGCCATGTCCCTGCCGTACGTCCCCAAAGCCCAAACCTCGTACGGCTTCTCCACTCTGATGGAGTCCCCCCACACCCGCCGCAAGGAGAGCCTGTTCCACAGTGACCCCAACAGCCCTCTCACCTCCCCGAACTCGCAGAGGCGTTCTCAAGGGGGGACTCTGCTGGCCCCGGCGGACCCCAACCCCTACCGCTATTTCAGTGGCGGTGAGAGCGACACCTGCTCTTCGGCGGAATCCTCCCCTTTTAACTCCCCGCTCCTGTCCCGATCCGCCTCCCTCCTCCGCTCCATCACACAGGAGACCCAGGCCAAGGTGATTCCTCTCACGTTTGAGTGCTGTCAGTATAATCTGAAGTTAGGAGATCGTTGATTTCAGTTATCTCATGTGTTTTTTATCCTTCTCCAAGGTGTCCCGCGCCAAGCGTTCCCTGGCCCGCCACAGTTCCCTCTCCACCGATGAGTGCAGCTCGGCAGACAACAGCCCCAAGCTGCAGCGGCGCCGCGCGCGCTGCCCGCCCTCCCCGGCCTTCCGCGGCAGCAAAGCCGGGGCCCCCCGGGGCGCGGCGCCGGACCTCCTGCAGCGCCAGCACACCGTCAACCTCCACAAGGGGGGGACACTGAGGCTGAGCACCCACTACGACCCGGAGGCCGCCAGGCTGAGGGTGCGCGTGCTCGCCGCCGAGGCCTTGTACGACAGGCAGACGGACCCGAAGAACATCAACTGCTGCGTGGCGCTCTACCTGAACCCGGGGAAGCAGCAGAAGCAGCGGAGCACCATCATCAAGAACAGCCGGAACCCGGTGTTCAACGAGGACTTTTTCTTCGACGCGCTGCCCCAGGCGCAGGTCAAGAGTCTGGCCATGAAGATTAAGGTTGTGAACAAAGGGACCAGTCTGAAGAGAGACGTGCTGCTGGGAGAGAGGGAGGTGCTGCTCAGCGAGCTGCTTGCGGCCCTCTAGGGAGCCCCTGTCAAGGCGGCGGTGAAAGCGAGTACAGCTCCGAGGCAGTAGACCCCCCCCCCCCTCCCTCCTCTGTGGTGACCTTTTTATCCCCACTTCACAGATCTGACAAGTACTGGAGAACAGGAAGCATACTGATGAATAGGTGTACCCTGCGCACCGGCTGTGTGTCAATTAAGTTCAACTTTATCTGATTCTCATTAATGAGTTTGTTAGTCGGAACAAACAAAACGACAAACCAACAAGCTTTGAATGCTCATAATGAATGGCAGAGCTGTGCTTCTGTTGTTTCTCATTAAATGTTCAGTTCCACGATCAGCGTTTTGGATGTTTCAAGTCTCCTCAGCTGTTTTTGCTAAAACGATCATGTATTTTTGTATGAAATCTTTGCTCTGTAGAGTTTTGCATGTGACTGCATGGACTTCTTTTGTGGAACTTGGATTTTGTGACTGTTTTGTAAATATGACACCTATATTGTAATATGTTTCAGAGTATTTAAATAAAGAACAGAAAACAAAACAAAAAAAAAACTTTGCTATTGCATGTTATTCATCCACACTTTTTTTCTCTTCCAATAACTCCTGGGGATTGAGGAAAATCTCTAGAAACGATTATAAAGCCTCTTTTTCTGTGGCTCCCTCACAGCTTCCTGGGATTTTTCTGAGGCAGGTGAAAAGGCTGAGTGTCATTTGTACTTGTGTGCATGCAATATTGTCTCTGTGAGCATTCAAACTCCCTGTTTAATTAAAAAAACCACACATCCAATTGATGCCGTCCTCCAGTGAGTTTCAAACAGTTATTGAGAAAGACGGGAAGTCGAGTCTATAGCTGCTAATCCCCCCCCTCACCAAATGCTCGGGGCATTTCTTACTGAGTCATTATATATGTGCTCAGCAGGGTTGGTTAATGAAAATGTGTTCTCTTCAATTCATAGGAAGTACAGACAAAGGCCTGCAGAGAATAATAGAGAACATCTTCCTAACGATGATCAAACGCTTCCTCTGCTGGTAAAAAAGCAGAACTACATCCTGGAGCATTCAAATAAGTTCATTATTATTATTATTA